TTATGTTATTAAATACTGACAAAGAATAAACTAAAGTGACCAAAATAAATATAACAAATTAATAAATTTGTTATATTATCGCCCTGCCCTATATATCTATATATATACACTTTTTCTGTGCGGCCGGGACCAAATGACCCACGGACCGGTACCGGCCCGCGGCCCGGTGGTTGGGGACCGCTGCTTTAGAAGAGCGTCGGAATAAACTTGTACAAGCATCAAAAAGGAAGAAGCGCGCGCGTTTTTGCTGCTCCTGCTGCTTGCGGTCTGAACGTAGCATTAAGGCTAACATACTGACTTTGTTGTTTTAATGACTTCAGTGAACCAGAAATGAAAGTTAATGGATGAACGTTTTTTTATCTAATGCTAAACTCTGGTTTCTGGGTTATTTCCTTTTATTCTGGGCTTCTTTGAACAGAAAACTGTTTAAACAAATCAAAGTTACTGATGACACAAACGGTGAGTCAGAGATGGTGATTTTAGGTATCCAGAACTCATTTAACTGCTCTAGTTTGTTCCACATTTCTTAATTGGGCCTATAGAGCACCTTTGATTGGTCCTTTTCCATCTCTGTGATCTATTGCTTTTCAGGCTTCATGTCATACATCTGTCAAACCTTTCCTGCCCACTTCTGGCTGGTGTTTCACACCTTTGTTGCTCTGCATTCAACCCAAGGCCTTACAAACCTCATTTTATTCTAGAAATATTTTAAAATCCAAGCTTTCATGTCAAAAGCAACCTTGAGGATCTTCCCTTTACCAAATCATCAATTGTCTATACAAACTTATTCTTGCAGAGTCAGGAGGCGCCAACTAATCCTAATCAGGTCACAAATCCATCATAGACACACGCAGCCATATAAGTGCAATTTATAAGTCCAAGTAACCAAACAAGCATGTTTTCTGGGCTGGGGGATGAAGCTGAAATACAGAGAAAGAAACCACAACTTTACCGGAAACTTTAAACTCCATGCTATAAGGCCCCAGGCAGGGATTTGAACCGAGGACCTTAGGTTGGTAGCAGCAGTGCTGCCAACTCTACCAACATTCAGTGATTTACTGGGAATCTTCTGCTCTATGGAGTCAGAAAGAGGTCAAATGTTTGTAAACTTGCGAATATTGGTTGAAACTGAAAAAACAAAAGATAAAACTGAAAAAATATAAGGTGATATTGAATGTCAGTTTTTCATTTTTATTTTAAAAAACCAAAAAAGCAAACATAAAATAATAGGAATTTAATCTAAATTCTTCCCCGAGGCTTGAAGAAACTCGTAATTCAGTTTAGTATTTCAGATACAATTTTCCTCTTTTTATTTATTTTCTTTATTGCAGTTTAAGATTTTCAGATTCAAATCCCTTCCACTTTAAATTTTTTTCTAAAATTCCCTTTTCAGTTTCAGGATTTTTTTTCCCACACTTTCAAATCTGTTTTTTCCACATTCAGATTTTGACCCCAGTCTAATCAGAGTGGGCGGGGAAACATGATTGACAGCTTGCAGCAGCGCTGGAGAGATATGTTGCATTCACAGACAGTGGGAACTCCAACAAAACATTCTCTGCAGCATTTATTTGCCTTTTTGGCAAAAATATTACATTAAAAACATTTAAACCGGATAAATAGTTAATGCAACATTAAACGGAACATCAACGTCAACAGCGTTTCCTCGCCAACTACCGTCAGATCGGGGTCAAAATCTGAATGTGAAAAAACTAATTTGAAAGTGTAAAAAAAAAAAAAATAAATCCTGAAACTGAAAAAGGAATTTGACACAAAAAAAAATTAACTGAAAGAAATGGATTTGAATCTGACCAATATAAAATCTAAAACTGCAATAAAGAAAATAAAGAAAAGGAAAAAAAGTGATATTAAAATACTTATTATTTTATGCTTTTTTAGTTTACCTTACATTATGAGGTAAAAATTTCACATTAAATATCAAATTCTATTTTTTTCTGTTTCAACTAAGATTTAGAAGTTTACAAACATTTTGACATCTTTCTGACTCCATACTAGTTGTTACAACATGGAACAGTTTTTTAAAACAAATTTCACTGTACTCCAGAAAATGTAAAAAAAAAAACAAAAAAAGTAAAATAACAATCCACTGGACTTTGTTTTCCAAGTTTAAAGACATTTCTCTTCCCATCCAGGAAGATTTTTCAATTCAAAATGTCAGGAATAGTGTTGAGTTTGGGGCTTTATAGAGTGGATCAACAAAAGCCTTTTTTTGGCTTAGAAAACATGCAAATTGAACCGGAAGAACAGGTCCACCCCTTAGTAATGGGGAGTTGCTGAGATTGTTGATGGCCTGAAATACCCGATACTGGTCTATGCCTCTGAAAAAGGGGGGGGTTGTGTTGTTGGTAGTCGTTGGCCTGTGGGTATTACAGGCCAACAACAGTCAGTTTTTTGGGTTTTTTTACCGACTATGACCTGGATGACTGAGAATCTTCACCAGCAAATTTCACAGTATCTTAAAAAATATATAATTGTGAAAAAACATATATTTTTTAAAATCATTAATTATTTAAAACACGTAAATATCATCTTGTATTTCTTCTCTGAAAGAACCCATATTAAGTTCAACTTATGCTGAAATTCAATTAAAAAGATACGAAAAACAGTTTGTTAGAGTTATGAATGCACATTAAAAATCACCCATCAAAAACAAAAGGTCAAAATCCAGCAGTGATGAATAAAACCAGTCAGTTAAAGTGAGATAAAAAGGATTTATTTTGTGGCGAAATGGTTTTCATCCAATTATCTTTGAGTTTTTCTGGCCCAAACTATGGTGGCAGATGAATGTTTGTGAAGTTGAAACTGTTTCTTTTTTTTTTCTTGAATAAATAATGAATAAAAAAATATCAAGAAAGGAAAAAAAGCAAAATAGAAACATTTGCTGATGGGGTATTTAGAAGTATGCTGAAATGCAGCTGTTTTATAAAGTCTCTAATATGAAGGGACCAAAAAAAGACCAATTTTTTATAACTTATTATAAATGTAACATGACTGATTTGCTAAAAACTTCAGCTGAAGCTGTTTTTCTTTTTTTTTATTGCTGTTTAACAGCCAGTTTTACACCTCCTGATTTAAAATGTATTTGCCTAAATGTTGAATACTGTTGGATAAAGATGATATAATGAAATAACGGAAAACATATTTTAGATAAATGAAACAAAATACAGTAGCAGCCATTCAAAATGGCCAATCCCAACCTTCTCCTGGGCATGCATTTTTTATTTTTTTTACTTTGATTGCATCGACTCATTGACTCTTCAGCAATCCCTCACACTAAGCATGCTTGTAGCGACAGTGGAGAGGAAAAACTCCCTTTGAACAGGAAG